CCATTTTATTACGGTGTATCCATATAAATGGCCCACCCATGTATTTTAATACCCAATATTATGAGCATGCTTTTTGAACATGAATTTCACAATTCATCAAAGGACATTATGATTTTTGTAATTCTAATATTTTTGAAGGTGCCTATGGTAAGTATCTCATTAACATTTAGTTTGTTCTGGATTTAAAAAAAAATCATAATCCTGTTCCTCGTCTTCTTTCTGTGTTTCCTTCAGCTGACCATGGAGCTAAACTACTACGTGGAAACTGTCCCACATTCTGGTACAGCTTCAATGGCCGCTGCTACAAATATGTTTCTGCAAGCATGGCCTGGGCTGATGCAGAGCTCCACTGTGTGTCACAGGGAGCCAACCTGGCATCTATCCACAGTTTGGAGGAACATCAGTTTGTGAAAGTCCTGATCAGCAACTTTGACCCTACTGAAGGATACACCTGGATTGGACTCACAGATCTCCATAAAGAAGGAGGCTGGATGTGGTCTGATGGTACTCCAGTGGATTTCACCTATTGGACTTCAAGTCAGCCAGAGAACATGGGAGGAAATGAACACTGTGTTCATAAAAACTTTGGTATGAAGTGGATTGACAGTCGATGTTCTGAAAGTTTTCCCTTTGTCTGTGCAACTCGCTGTTCTCAGTAACTGAGATTCTTACATATTAAAGAACTAGTAACAGATCATGATCAATTAGAATGGTTACACATTTTGTGATTACTTACATATTCAGTAACTAGGTGTGTTGAAATTAATGAAATTAACAGTAACTCTGGGTGTACATAGCCTGTCATGTAACATGCAAACAAATTTGTATGTGTAAAAAATTACACCTGTTCTAACCTACATCTGTACAAAGATGACCAAGGCTGCTCTTGGTTAACTTAAAAAGGAAGAGTATGAAGATATTTCAATTGAGCTGATTCCAATAAAATGAACTCTGTTAACAAGTGGATCTTTGTGTGTTTGTGTAAGGGAGTGATCAGTGGTTGTTTTGACAGGGGTGCAGCAATATGATATTCTGATAAGTGCTATTAATAACTACTGATCAGTACTACTACAATTTGTAGTCATGATAATCAATCCTTTAAAATAGCAGAGAACTTTTATTGTCTCACTTCCAGGGATGTTAAACACGCAGAAAGGGTAAACAGTCAAAATCAACATTTTAAGCCATACGATGATGATAATGCTATTGAGAAAACTCTACTTATTGGCAGCTCTAGAGGTCACTTATTATTATCCACATTATAAAAAAATCTGAGCTATAAACTCTAGTTTAGTTGTCTAGTTGTGGCTGCGTTGTGGTCACTATTGTTCTTAAAGCAACATAGTTAAAAACCTGTATATTAAAAGTTTACAGTGTAAGATGATGATTATGATTCTTATTACTTCGCTGGGTTTAAATTCACCAAGTTATCTTGACAATGTCTACATGCCTAAATATACACAGGTGCCGCCATATGATTGGCTGATTATTTGTCTTAATGAGAAGTTGAACAGCTGACCCTAATACAATCCAATACAATCTAAAATGTCAAAAAGGAGCAATAACTTCCCCCTCCCATCCAATCAGATTTTACTTTGTCACTTCTTGATTCAAAAGGAACATTTTATTCTGTCAAAATATTACAGAAAATAAATTTGCTTATAGTTTTATCACATGTCACAGGAAGCTTATATTTCTGATACTGAATGCAGGTGGTAGATTCAGGGACACAACAAGTGCATTTGGCCAATGATATCACAGCAGCAATGCAAGCAGCCTTTCTGAAAGCTATAGAGCCTACACTGAAAAAAAGGCCATGTGGGATTTACTTGATTCAATAATGGACATTTGTTGCACACAAATGTTTTGCTTTGGCAGAAAATTAAACAACCGAGTTAAATCAACACAACTTTTTCATATTCAATAATCCTGTGCATTTTGTGTTTCTAAAACGCGATTGAAACATGTTCAGATGAAGTAAGTTGAGCTCTTGGAATGTTTTAATCCTTCACAATTTTGTCATTTTATTTCAACACTATTTAATAACTTTTACCCCAATAATACTTGGTCACTTAAATACTACATGTTGTCTTCATATTACATAATGTTCAACAAAGTCTAGATCCTGGTTACCATAAAA